ATAGACAGTGAATGCATTGGTGAGGTGTTTTGTCAAGTATATTCTTTTCTTATCCCTCTAATGTACTTCTCTCTTACAAGCGCATTTTAACACATAGCTTCTTGTGTTACTGCTCGCGTATCGTTTACCCTTCCCCATTCCTCCCTCTCTCTCTTCCATTCCCCTCCATCCCAGTCCATCCCAGTCTTCTCTCATCACTGCTCTCATATGGGCCACTGAGTGTCCACTAACACAACAGGTGTGAGGTTATTGGAGAGAGCCAGCGGTTTGGAGACGTAACTATGCTTTTAGTCAGTGGTTTCTGAGGTCTTCCCCTAAATATAGATGTGCGTCTATATTAACCTCAACAGCGGGATCACTGGGTCTCCTCAAATCTGATCCTGTGTGACACAGCACAGAGTCTGAATGCTAATGAAGACACAACTGTCAGTATTCAGGATGTAGAGAGAGAGAACATATATATAGAGAGAAACCCTTTCTTTTAATGTTTGATTATTGGTGTATGTGGAGTTGCTATTCTTATGATGTTATATTTTTGATGGTAATGATGCTGAATTGGTCTTCACGTGTCTGTATGTTATGTATACACCTAGCAGGGTAGGAACTCCTAAAGCTCACTAATTCAACTCATTATATCTCATGTGTTTATTCCATACAAAAATCAAAACAAATATGTCAAAAAAAACCCATCAGATTGAGTAAATAAATAAAGTTTTAATTAGTGAACTTTAAAGGCATTCGTTGGCAGATTTATTACTTATAGAAAGAACCTAGTTGTTTCCACTTGCCTCCACCGTTTGCAATTCCTTTAAATGGAATAAACTCCTTTAAGCAACCTTATGGTCATTTCATGACTACACATGATTCGGTTGTTTGGTTGCACTTTGTATAAACAGGAAATACCATATTAGTTCCAGGAAATGATCATTTTCATCAACACAAAATTCTGACATGAATCAACAGCCATGACCTTCCTAACAGTTTGTTTTTTCTTTTTACCCAGATATGTGTCTAATAAATCATGTGTTCATCCAGAGCATCTTAAAAGTGAAGTTTCCCTTCATGAATAACAGCTACAACAATGATGGCAAGCTACATGATGCTGCTTGTTGACCTCAAGCTAACTTTTACTAGCATTTGAACAGCTGCACTATTATAATGGATGCATATAGAGTAACGCTGTGCTCATCTTCTCCAAATACTGCCAAATTAATTTTGTCCAAACATATTAAGTGGATTCTACCATTCATGTTTCATGATGTTTTAGTCATAAATTATTAATACAATCTTCAGGGCTGTTTAGGAATAATATCGTAACCTCACTGTGCTCCTACATTCTTCAGTCTGAAATCCACTCAATGAGACGTGTTTGTGTGTGTGTGTGTGTGTGTGTGTGTGTGTGTGTATGTCTGTGTGTGTGCACATGTCAGAGTACGATGTAAGCTGCTATTTGTATCTAAGCCTCTTGCATTTGCTGTGGCACAGGTGCAAACCCCATACCAGTCCAGACAGACTCTTTCTAGAATGAACCCTCCTGGAAACACAAACACTGACTCCTCTGGACTGAACCACCAAAAGATTGAATCATGTTCACATTTGCATTTGAGATATTTTGACTGAACAGTAGCAACATTGTCTTCAAATTAGGCACATTCAAGAGTAAAGGTTTTGTTTTGATCAAGTTATTAAGAGGAAAATATTTTTGCACACTTTACCACTTTTCCTCTGTTCTTATGATAGAGACGTCCTAACACTTACTCACCCTGGAGATGGTCAGGGGCTGGTTGAAGTCCTTTCCTCCTGTCAGGCGAAACCCCCAGGGGGCTGGACCATCCAGCACGACAGTGAGTGGCATGACCCTTTAATCTCCCCCCAGCTATTAGATAACAACAAGGCAGACAGTAAACTGCACACTGCTGTGAACAAAGTTAAAGAGCAAAGGAATATCAAAGTGATGGAGATTTTGAACCATGTGGGCGGGTGCAGGGGGAGGAGAATGGACAGACACCACCCCAGGAGTGAAGTAATTGGTTAGATTTTGGGAACTGGCTCTCAGACTGTTCTACTAGCACATGCTCGCCAGTTTTCCTATTTCTGTAGGGTACTTTTTCTCATTTCTTCTTTTCTCTTTCACTATATCTCTCTCCAATGTTTTGCCTCTTAAATCAGGTACTACCAAAACTTCAGTTGTCCTACTTAAATCCAGTTTTGGCTCACAGTCTGCAAGTACCTATATGGACACTTGTAGACAGAGTGAGGATGGAAACCAGGCTACCCTTACTGCTTCTCATCCCTGGGCAGCTCACAGTCTGGCTGGCCTCCTCTCGCTCTGGTTGACGGGTCTTGCTGCTCCTGTCCTTATTTGGTCTGGAGGCGCAGCTCCACTCTGAGGCCCTGGAGGTCCCACAGGCACATTCCAGCCACTATTGATCTGGATGGGACCCAGTGCTCTCACCCCTGAGCTTGTTAACAATCCAGTGCAACACATCATCTCTCTTTTTCTGTTTATACCAGAAACTGGGTCTGTTTTGTCTGTTAAAATAAGCCCAGCCTACAAAAAAACATATTTTCTGGGCTTTATTTATGATAACAGTGTTTTATTCCATTCAGCTGAGGATATTTTCTTGTCACATACCTGTCATGTCTGCATTATATCAAATATTATAAAAAAAACACCAAAGGCTTTATTAGAGCACTTTGTCAACAAACTGTGAGTAAATCTTGTTAATCTGTCAGCACCGATAGGCTTTTGCTCTGAGTAAGGCATGTTTCCATCACGTAAATAAATAAATCAAGTGCCAGTTAAAACAGTAGTGCGATTTAAGAATCACAACACCAAATCCATCATCCGCGTAGTGCTGAAAATCTTATCCCGCGCAAATATGTGAAAACGTGGACCAGATTCATGTTTTGTTTCTGCAGTTACCGTGACGATGTAACTCCCTGACAAATAAGGGAAGTTGATGATATATTCATACTCTGAAATCCTGTCTCTGGACCGACATGTAAGAGTCTGCCTGCATTAAGTTTCCCCATTCAAACACTCATTCTCTCTTTTTCTCAATAATTCAAACCTGGAGCAGAAACATGTGACCATATGTAGCATACATACACAGTGCCTAAGCCAGCCAATTCCCCTTGTGTATGCTTTACTTGCTAAAGCTGTAAAAGAGACATGCCCATTAAAATTGACCTATGTAACATTTATGCAGCACATAACTGAAATAGTGAGCCCGTCAATGCATCGTTTTGAAATAGCTTGGAGATGCCCTGCAAGACCTATTTAGGACATTGTATCTAAAAGGGTTCTGAAATGTTAAGTCAAGTTTGAGATTTACATGAATCTGGAACCAAACATACTTTTATTCATTCATTAAATTCAGTGTCTTTCTAGAGCACTAAAGACTTAATAAAAGTAGTGTTTCAATGCCCTCTTAGGAACAAAGTTTCAAGTGTGTTGTGCCTGTAACAAGGATGTCACAGTGTACTGACAAACCCTGGAGTATACTTCTACATCATTGAGAAGTTGTTTTATTACCAAAAACTCCAATGAAAAGACCAATGAATTGATCGTACTAACAAATATTGTCTGTATTGCCAAAGCCTGATATTTCTCTCTGCCATTAAAGGACTAGTGTGTAGGATTTAGTGGCATCTAGAATTTAAGCTGCAAAATTCAACAAAGTGAACACAGCTCGCGTCTGTATTTGACAACCTTGGAATAAGAACGGGCTGTGAAGTGTGAAGGAGAAACTAGGGTGGCTGCTAGCGAAAAACACTTAAGGTCCTATCTAGAGTCAGTGTTTGGTTTGTGAGTTGTGGGCTACTGTAGAAACATGGCGGACTACTTGGAAGGCGACCAGCAGTGTCAGTAGATAAAAACATTTCGTTCTAAGGTAACGGAAACATGATTCATATATTCAGCTAAATTTAGACTAATGAAAAGATACCTATGAATATTATATTCCACATCTGTCAGTAGATCCTCCTAAATGTTACACATTGGACTGAAAAAGAAGCTAGATATCTGTGACCTGTTTTACTGTTAAATGAGCTTTATAAATCACTGAAAGATGGAGTCTTTTGGTTGCTACTTCATAAAAGACACTTTTTGTAAAGGTACTATGTGTCACGGCGGAGTTTTCTTTGCAATCAATTTTGTTTACATTCAATGTTTCTCACCAAAAGCCTCTTGCATTTATAATTTCATAAAACATTTGCCAAGCTTTTTCTCATGATTTGAAACTTCTTCTTGACATTGCAACTTTAATTGCGCATTACCGCCACCAATTGTCCATATGTGAAATTGCATGAAATAAAGAGGACATGAATGTGTCAGATCATCTCTGTGCTTGGAATAAAAAAAGCAAGACTTCATTATAAATGACATTTGTTTTCATTCATCAACAAACTAATTTGTCTTTTCTGTTAAGCTGAAAGGAAAAAATAATTGGGAATATTTAATCTACCAGCTGGATTTTATTAGCAATACAGCCCCATAAAATCATCCAACAAATGCTAAGATATCTAAGATACTGTAGAAATACTTAGGCCAAAGAGTGTGCATTGAATTTGATATTAACATGAATAACATATAAGATTTACATTTTCATTACATGTATAAACATATCAGGAGTCAAATTCATGTCTTCAATCCAAATCGGTTCCTAATGTTGTATCAAAGTCAGACTAGTTCATGTTCTGTGCACACGCTTTTCCGATGTTTTCTAGACTATATATGCATAAATGAATTTTTTGCATCACAGAAGAGGTTTACATATACATGGCTATTAAATTAGTAAGTTGGATGTAAGGCAGCAATCACCAACTCTACTCACTCTACCTACAGTAACTTCAGTTTAAATACGTCACTGGCTCTTGAAACAACAAATAACTTGAGAAAAAAAGGGCCTACATGCCTGGCTACAATAATAACTTTGAAAAAGTGGAAATTAGCACCACTGATGAAGAATGTGAAGAAAGAAGGAGAGGAAACCAAATGTGATGGTGGGTGAGAAAAAGCTGACTTTATAAAGCAAGTGGATGTTGGCCATTTTACAGCTCTCATACAAAAGGCTTACAAAAACACCACAGACACACACACAAGTGTTCTCACACCAGCTGAAATAGTGGATGACAGGGGAGGTGACGTATGATGCGTGAATGATAAAACATAATATATCTTAAGGTGCTTTAACAATTGTTTTGTTGTCAGTGTCCATCCTATGTGAAACACGTAAAATGGGAAAAAAACAGAAAACATAAATCACATTCACCAAGCATGACAAGATAAGATGGAAACTGTCAAGAATTCCTAATAGTATATAACTACATGAGGGTTAAAAGATGCCACCAAAGTTTAGTGGAAAAAAACTGCAGTTAAATGACTGAAGTTTTCAATAAATGCCATCTCATCCTGCATCTGACTTAAATAATTCAACATAAAACATCATGACACCTGGCATAATTATAGCCCATCAACTACGGTGTTATGTGTCACTCAGAACCTATCTGGACAATGACAATGACAATACAATAACAATCCTTTAAGAGTGGGTTTACTGCTGTTGAAAGATGTTTTTAAAAAAAGCAACGTGTTGTTCCATCCTTTCTACAATTGTCTTATAACACAGTTTGACCAGCACTTATCCTCTAATAAATATAATACCTAAAAAGGTTGGTAACCTTTTTGCATACACTTTTCAAACATGACCAATAGGCTATACTCCGAAGTCTCACAGTCATATTAACTTCTAGTATGAAAAATCTGAAGTGAAATTTGAGATAAAACAAACACGAAATTGTGTTAAAGTTTCGTTAAAGTGCATCAATCCTAGTGTGAAGATGAAGAACCAACAATTTGAAAATATTTGTGTGTTTTCTAATCTTATACTTCAAATCTAATGTGTTAAGATTAGACAGCAAGTACAACAGTGTCAATGATATTTCTTCCACTTCCTCATTTGCAATATTTGCAATAATTGCTTAAGAAAAAACTTGTTTCAAAACAAATATATTCCCAAATCTTGCTCAATACCTCTGGTAACACATAACGTTGATACATGCACAGTCTTTTCCACATGTAACTGCGGGAAGTAACATCCTTTTACCTGAAATATTGGCTGTACGACTGCAATCCCTTCAACACAGTTCGTAAACAACAGACCTGCTGACAGAATACTGTTTTTACAACACTCTCTGCACCAAATGTCTTTGGGTATATTTGTAATTGAACACTGAAATGAAATGCAACAAGTGTTTTTAAATGGGATACTGCAGGAAAATAAAAAAGTTGATGGTGGTGATCTTACTGCCCTTTAACAGAAAGAAAAACATCACTGCCGTGCCCTGTTTTCTATCATTGACTGTTTGCAAAGGTCCTTCGATATCGTTCCATCACTGTCAAAAGTTAAAGGTCACTGACTGGAGCACAAAGTTTGGGTTCTCCATAATAGAAAAATAAGGATAAAAAGATAAGGTTAAAAAAACAACATTATTTTATAGAAGTCTTCCATTAAAGATGGCTAGTTAGAGCTAAATGTTCTGTCTGTGTGAAGCCGACGAGCCGCACATACACGCAAACACATAAATGTGCGACAGGGTCTTGGGGGACCAGTGTTGGGAGGCGGTGTCCTGCGGGTGCTGTGCTGAGGGCGATGAACGTGTCACAGAAAGGGGCGGGGCCGGGAGGGGGGGGAGTCTGGAATCATCATTATAGCTGCTTCACATAGTTTCCTGGGAAGGTTCCAAACAACTTGCTCCTCCGAGAGGTCCCTTCAAAAACAAAGAGCAATAAAATGAAATTGTCGGTGTTTGAACCTTGGCAGTGGCTGTCGCTAATATTATCCCAGCTCACTGCAGTCTGGAAATCAGCCAAACATTGAGATCAGACTGAAACATCTTTAGTTTTACGTAACAAAATGTACAGATTAAGATGGAAAACAGGACTATCAGACTTAAACTGTGCTCATCAGTGCAGGATACTGTTGAATTCTTCCACAGTGAGTATGTGGTGGTATCAGAGTGCCATCTAGTGGTCTCAGTTAGTTGATATTTGCTTCTACCAACCAGACTACAAATCCTGTATAGAGGATTACAGCATTTTTTTCTGTACAGTGTACATTTGTTGTCCAGCTTTTTTGTAACATATATGTATCTAGTACTTGGAGAAGGTATTCAGATCCATTGTACAGAGAGGTATTTCTATTATTTGGCCAAACCTCATTATATAAATATCTGTATAATGCAATTCATCATACAGTTGAATCAACACCTCTCTAAAACAGTTTGAACAAAAACATTATTATTAAACATTATAACCTTCCTGAAGGGAGGATTTTAGCGTTTAGATCAGTGAACCTAATAAACTGTCAATAAACGGTTAAAAGCATAAAATGACAACAAGTACCTTAAAAATAAGTACAGTGCTTAAGTAAATTCTACTAATGGCTACATATTTATGTTTGCCTATCTTTGTTTAGCTGTATATCTACTGAATATATACATGAAACTGAATGAATAAACACTGCACTCCTTCCTCTTACCGACAAACCAGCCATCATCACACTTCTCCATCACATCCACAATGTCGCCCTCCCTCAGCTCCAGCTCGTCCTCGTTGCGAGGAAGATAGTTGTACACGGCCTGGTACCTGTGTTAGAAAAACTGACACTGAACTAGCTTTCTTTATCCAGTACTATCGGTTTGTGTTCAACTGTTATACCAATAGAGCAAATGAAAAAATTGAAGTTAAACTTGACATGGTGATAAGGTTCAAGAAGAATTCAATGACTGTGCACATGTTGTATATGTTGCTACACAGTCTACAGTTTAGCACAAAGATATATCTTCCTTTATTGGCTGACAGCAAATTGATGGAATAATAACAAATATCACTTACGGGTCTCCTCCACCTTGGAGTGCATCCTGTACTAATCGCTGTGAGAAAAACAGAAACAGACAGAAAATCAAAATGTGGTATTTGTGAGGCTTTTCTTTACGGTTTGAGGAGGCTGAATGAAAAGGTATAATTTATACGCAGAGGTGTGACCAATTCCTTTGAAAACAGACATGAATAGACAAACCAACCAAACACTCAGGCCTAAAATCTGAATTTTAAATGTCTTTATTAAAAGGAAAATTACTGCATTTGTCAAACAGCATACTTTACTACGCATGCTATAGAATATGTGGTGATCATCAGTCATGAATGACATGGTTATTTCTAAAGACGTCCTTCCTGCACAGAGACAAGAGTACAGTCAGAGCATGGTTGAATGAAGACATGCCCCCCTACCCTTCGACCTCTAATGGGGAGATAGGACCTCCGGGACAAGATGGGACTACGAGGAGGTTTACCACCAACAACTGGATCCTGCTTAACAGGCAGAAAGACCAGAAGCAACACACCGATAATCTTCAACAGTAACTGGGTCAGCAGCCTTCACTATGAACTGAACACACAACCACAAAGGCTAATAACATGCTGTAAAACTTCATCCATCAACATGCCAATGCCAATGAAAATCCTCCTAAACACACAACAGTGCAACCAGCAGCAGCAACACACGCTAATTCAAAAAGGCTCTCTGGTGTCTATAAATCATCTCCATAGCACTTACATGAAAGTTTATAATGTATGTTAGTGTACAAATGACGTAGTAGTCTCAGCCACGGCTGCATCAAACAAATAACTTCCATATCTGTTAATCTGTTGACACATTTTGATTGATTGTTTAGTCTATAAAAAGCTCAAAAATAGTGAAAAATGGCCATCACAGTTTACCAGGAGAAATCTTCAAATAGTATTTTTGTTCAACTAAAGATGGTCAATTTACAATGATATAAAACAAAGAAAAGCATCAACTTGTCATGGCATTTTTCACGTATAAACAGCACAAAATATTAATCAGATTTAAAAAAACCATATACAAATATTTTCTGTCAATTGATTAGTTGACTTCAACCATAGTCTCAGCTCCACTAAAAGTTAGAGACAGGTATTATCAGATGTGTTCTTGTCATAATCATCACAAACATGATCTAAATCAGCGGCATCATCTCCACAGTACAGCTTTACCTTCACCTTGGGAGACCTACGTCCTGGATGGGGTATAGTGGGGGGAGAGCGTGGAGTGGTGAGGGGAGGAGAGACGGGTTTAGGGGGAGACATGGCGGGAAGGGAAATAGGCGACTCTGAGTCGAGGCAAGATGTGACCGGATGAGGAAGACAGGGAGAGCTTGAGACAGAGCTCTGTGAGGGAACGTTTGGAGAGGGGTGAGAGGGGTGAGGGGAGTGGAGGGGAGGTGGTGAGACAGGCGGAGACGGAGAGGCTGGAGGTAGGGGTGATGTCATGAGGTGAGGAAGGGACGGGGGCCGAGGGGATACAGGGGGGGAGGGAGGGATGGTGATCCGATCCTGCTGTTGTGACCGTGAGAAAGAAGACAAAGAAGGAGTGAAAACAGAAGTAGAAGAAGAAGAAGAAGGAGGAGGTGGAGGAGGAGGAGGAGGAGGAGGAGGAGAAGGAGAAGGGGGAGGTAAGGAAGTCAGAGGTGATGGTACAGAAGGTGAGGGGAGGCCGGGATGAGGAAGCTGTGTCAGAGTGGAAGGAGAGACATCAGCCTATGGAGGTAATGACACACACACATCAGTTATGAAGCTGAATCACAGAAGCTAAATACTGAGGAAATTAAGAAATAATAATTTGAATAAAATTCTGATGGCTGTATTTAACAAAGCCCTGGAAGGGATGTGGAGGATAATATTTTACATGAATGTATTTACATGAATTTACAGATTTGTTTTTTAAAAAGATCTACCACCAGTGCCAACAATAAGACGTCCAGGATAAGTCTTTCAAAAACAAAACAACAAAAACCGTATGCTGTACAATAGTGATATTTTAAGACTATTCCCTTATGTATGGGAGATTCAAGTATCTGAAATCTCTATTTGCTGCTCACTACAGAGTAAACTATTGTGTTTACTATATAGGGAGAAGGAGCGAGTGATCACAGACACACAGTGAATGTGAGTCAGTCCATAAATCCATAAAGTTATAAATTAAGCTAACTGTACTATTTCTATTATCATTTTGTGCCCCAATTAGTAACTTATACGTTCAATTAGTGGGTGTGACGATTAGATACCAAATTACAGTACTTAACTATTCAACTTATCTATTTTGAAAACCTTTAATCTTATCTTTAGACCCTCTTTCATCCACAATCCATTGTCACAATAACCTTCTATTGTAAGTCGTGCTGCTGCCTCATGCTGCTCTCATCAGCTGTGGATGAGGGTATAAACGACGCAGGTAAACTCGGATGCACTCCATTAGTCTCCATTACAATCATGACAACATCTGTCATCATTGATATTGCTAGACTCCTTGATCATTCAGTTTAGTTATATATAACATATTGCCTCCCTGTAAATGCCTTCAGGCTTCTCAAATGGCTAAGTGACACAAGTACATTGACCTCTGTGTCGAGTTTTTATAAGACAACGCAAAAGTAGGTCTATTATTTCCAAGATTTACAATATTTCCCTCCATCTCCCTTCCAAGGGCCTGTAGAGTTTCCAAATGTTACAGATGCAACTCACACCATGCTCTCTACCTGCAGACTGAGTCTCTCATTAACACCTTTATTGTCCTCCTCTTTGTCCTCTCTAGTTTCTTCCTCTTCCTCAATGAACAACTCAGTATATCCCCATCCTTTCACCGATTGTGGTCTCTGAGAATCAAAGGGTTGCTCATTCAGAGTTTCTGACTGCTCTCCCCAACTTATGGAAAGTGGCTCCATTGTAACAGGCTTGTGAAACTGCACCTCTAACCAAACGCTGCCCGATGGGTCGCTGACTGGAGTGACTGCTGTGGGTTTCACTGCTGGCTGATGGAATTCTTCTGCCTTTAGCCTTAACTTGCCTGCCAAGTCGCTGACTGGAGTGACTGCTGTGGGTTTCAGTGCTGGCTGACAGGATTCTTCGGATTTTTGCTTAAATCTGCTTTGGGATTTACTGGTTAGCGTAGCTGCTGGGGAATCTACTGGAGACAATCTTGAAAAGTCAGCATCATCTGCACTGGTAGAACCGTCCAGAATCATGGACAGGAGCTCATCATATGGATCTTTTACGTGCAGCTCAATATCAGGGATTTTCTTGCTTTTGTTTACATTTATGTTATTGCACAGTGGAACTGTGGGTGATTTCACTGGCTCTGGCACTGTGCAGGACAAAACCTCTGGCTTAGGAAAGTGTAATGTTTGTGCTAGTCCTTTGCCACTGTTGCACTGCAGTGAAGAGTCAGGCAGTGAAGAGCAAATTGAGGAATGAGGAAGGGGAGGAGGAGGAGGAGGAAGAGGAGGAGGTGGTGGAGGAGGATGAGGTTCAGGTTGAGAGAAAGGCAAGGCAGTTCTGGAAGATGTTTGGGGCGGCAGGGCAAAGCCTCTTTGTGATGGCACAGGCGAGAGCGCCTTAGGCTCCTGAGCCTTTAGGAAAGGTGGAAAGTTGGTAGGGAGAGGGGGTGGTGTGGGTGGTACAGGGGTGGTCGTGAGGGAGTGAGCTGGAGTGGATGCCGATGGGTCCATTGTGAGGGAAAGCCACTCACTGGTGATCACTTGCAGGTCAACCCTTCTCAACGGGGGGTGAGGGGAGGGGAGATCACAAGTAGTGGGGGATGGGGGTAGATGGTAGACAGGCTCCATTGAAGGTAAAGTGAAAAAGAAGGTAATTTATAAAACTAGAACAGAAACTACAGTGTGTGTTTTGTGTGTGTAGTATGTCATTTGAGGGTTAAACAGAGCTTAAAGGCTGCATTTACTCCCTTACACAGATGATGCATTTATTTATTTACTTATATATATATTCACACGTAATTCCAACATGTTACTTTTTGAGGATGTGAAATGTTTCTTGGCAACTGTGATGTTGGTTAACAACCAACGCTGCTGTTCACAAATATAAACAAATAAACCTTATTATAAATCAATCAATAGAATAATTTGTAAAGAAACTCAAAGTGCTTTATTTTTTTTAATTTTAAACAAATTGCTGGTTCGAAATTTGTTACTCTATTGTGTTGGTTTATTGTACTTGATTGTCACTATGTTGTAGTGATTCCCCTACCTTGATAGGTGTAGAGCTTGGTGTCCTGTTGCCAGGGTAACCATGTGGGTCTATGTGGTGGGCGGAGCTCTTGGCTGGGGAACGCTTGACGATGTCAACGTATGACACAGGAAAGATGCCCTGTTTGGTTGTGTCTGGGATCTTCCCCTCATACCAGTTCTGGTCCACCTGCCTTACCACAATTACTCTCTCACCCTACACACACACACCAAAATATACACATGATTTTTAACTACAATACAGCACTCTTAACAGAACTTGACAGTACTACCTCTCAAACTTCTTGAAGACTGTGCAGAATGTTTTGTGATCATAGCATCTTCAAAATCATCAAAATATTCCAATGGTTTTAGCTTTGTTGTGAGACCTGTATCACTGTTTTGATACTGCAGTTGGGGCTCCAAATCAGGAAATCACACCAAACACACTGCCTGGTGGGAGCTTGATTTGAATTTGTTTTGTTTATATTTAGAGGAGATTGCACATCTTTTAAGTTTATGCAATCATTTCCAAGTCCACCTGATAAACTCAAAACAGTATAGTTCCTCAAGAAATGCAAGGTTTCACCCCATAATTATAAACTATTATAAACCTGTTAGATTGTTCCAACTTTTAATTTACACAAACAATAAACTACCTTTCTGAGAGATAGCTCCACATTAGTATCAGCATTGAAGTTGTAGCGAGCTACTGCCTCTCCGATCTCTCTGACATGTGCTGGCGGAGGAGGACGAATCGGCTGCTGCTTCTCTGAGGATGGCATCTTCTGTTTTTGTGTGTGCATTGGTGTAAATGTGTGTAGTGGAGAGGGAGAGACAAATTACATATAGGAAAATGATGCACATCTACAGTACTGACAGTACTACAGTTTATCAGTGGCACACTTACTTCTACATAGGACATGGGGAATATTCCAACCCGTCCACGGTGCTCTCCTTCATACCAGTTGTTGTCTATCTGTCGGATGATGTTCACTGCATCACCTTTCTTAAACGTCAGCTCCCTGCAACACATTCATGTCATCAAAGTGCAACTACACAGATGTGAAGAAGACATGAACTGACCACTTTAACCAGCACAGCTCATTTCATGTAAACAGCCTCATCTACAGAACCTCATCCACCCAAGCAGGATGAAATAAGATCAAGTACAAAATAAATCAGCCTTATTCATGCATATATTTAAAGCCTGCATTTGAAATATATAAGTTAAAGCCATCCAGGTGTCATGGCAAGATGTGACAATGAAGTTATCTTAGAAAGTAAAAGAAACTTTATGCAAGACATGCTTAAGAATCTGAAATCATAACACTGAATGCAATGAGTTGAGATGTGTTGATATCCAGTTAGAAATTCATGCTTTAAAGCTTGGCTTGCTTGTGTGTGCACTGTGCATTCACTGTACTCACTTAGCTGTTTGTGCCTTAAAATCATAAATGGCTCTTGCAGGCTGTTTCTGATGGAGGAGAGAGAACAGAATAAGTTGTGTCATCTGTTTATGGGAGACCTAGGAGATGAGAGTGAGAGAAAGAAAGCCGGCAAGCATTACCAGGCAAAACATAAAATACAGCTTTTTAATTTTTGTGAGACAATTCCAACTGTGGTGTGGTGAAGACAAAAAAACAGCCTGTTGATCCAAAACATTTTATAGTGCCAACCAATCATCACACATTGTTGAGGTGAAATTTAAGTTTAAGCTAGAAACTTTAGTGTTATTTCTAAATTATATCAAAGGAAACACGATGAACTATTCAGTGCTACTATTGAGGTCCATGTTGGTGTTGAGAATACTAGCCATCAGTACCTCTCTGTCAGGAGTAGGTCTTCTACTCTGGGGTGTCTGGCGTCCATCCATGGTGGAATAACACCTGGAGACATCCTGGTCTGTGATTAGTAGAAACACATGAAAAAGGTTACGGGAGTTACCATAGTAATCACAATCATGTCACATGCATGCTCACAATACAAAAATGTGCTTTGGGAAAGTACTGAATGGTACAGTGATGACGCCATTCCAACAGGTAAATGAGGGAATGAAAGCTCGGAGTCAAAAATAGGTGTGTTTTATTTCCATTTCATAGGAAAACATGGCGAATGTGACACATGCAATTCTACAAAATAGCTGAAACACAAAATGAAACAAGGGGAACACAGCCCAAAACATATGATGAAACCATTTTACAAACATAAACATACAAGCAAAAGGCTTGAGGGAAGGAATGATAGTGGGATAATAAGACGACTCCATAAATCAATCTGCAAAACAGACAAATAAAACAACCAAAACAATACCAAATTAAAGACAGAGGATATTCACATTTATTTACTCCAACCAGAGTAATATACCGTAAATTCTCAAGTACTTCTTTACGCCAATTACAAAGAAATCCAGGCCTTTATTTGAGACAAGCTCATGTTTACAGACATATTTCTTAAAAGCTCAATTTACTTATTCTACCAGCAGACCTTTAATGTGAAACATCAGCAGGAAGTGTTTATTTTCACTGATATTAGTTTAACTGGTTAACTTAATTTTTTAATTTTAACATATGGCTTTACTTGAGAATTTACAGCAAACAGGGCTTACTGAATGTGATATAAATATATTAAAAAGAACAGAAATGGATGTATTGGCTGACCAGTGAGGGGAATGGTAGCAAGCCCAGGCAATACTGTAAGAGATTTAAAATATGGATGGATGTGTGTTTGTAAATGTAGAAAAAACTATGTGTAGGTATGACTGGTAACATGACAAAATGCACAGGTGCATATTTGAGGTGTGGTGCGTGTATTATCTCCACCTGAATAACAGAGACCATTTCCATTGCCCTGCTCCTCTCCATACTCATTATTGTTTGAGGTGTCTGTGTGACGTCCGTAACAGGCACTGATTGGTGACTGTAGCTGTGGTGACTGTAACCGTGGTGTGGAGGTATCCCCTCTATATGAGGCATACCCAGTGGGGCTCCCATCTGGGTACAAAGATGCAGAGGAGTGACCCCCGTGCCAACACCCCCTCCTCCCCCGCAATGAGGAGCTTCTTTCAGGCACATTTGGGAGCAGTTCGGCCAGTATTCTCCTTAGGATACTATCATCAGGCGCCCTAGTTCCTCTGTGGCCCCTCTCTGTTTGAATGTGCTCATATATGTCTCTCAAGGCTGCATCTAGTGCTTCATAAATGGCCTGTTTGGACTTGGGTCTGCTACCTCGATCTCCGCCACCACTGCTTCTTCTAGAGGTAGGTGGTGAGCCCTTTTTCCTGCGGAAAGGCACTGGGCTGACCAGGAAGGCCAGCTTGGACATCGCTTGCTGGGACTGCGAGCTCTGGATTTGGGAATGGCTCCTTTGTTGTGAAGGTTTCTGGTGCTCCTGGCGCGCTCGTTCTCTCTCATGACGAAGCATGGTTGTAAAACGTGTGTAAGAGGCTGGGCAGCGGCCTTTGCAGCTGCTGATGAGGTGGCGGTGTTGGTAGCCTTGGCTCTGGCCTAGACTTTGGTGACCAGGGTGGTGGTGGTGATGGTGGTGGTGATGACGGAGGTGGTGATGGTGATGAATGGTGGAAGAGCCGTACAAGCTCTCAGAGGAGGTTAGTGAGCAATGGTCAAAGTCACTCTCACTGCAAAATGAGGAGCCCTCCACCTGGATGAAGTCACTGAGGTCTGACGCAATAGCGTCTTGTTCACTGTCGGAGTAGTCTGGGTTGGCTTGAGGGCCTTGGGGAACAGGAAGAGCAGGAAAGGGCCGCCCACGGACGGGCTCTGGCCCAACCCGAGGCTGGCCCTCAGGTGGGCTACGAGGTCGATGCAAGTGATCCATGGTGTGAGATACTGTTCCACTGTTGCCGTTGTTGTCTTCCTCAAGTAAAGATTCTATGGAAAAACGGCGTTTTGGAAAGCTGGGTGTGACACCACCACCACTGCTGGCTCGAGATGACGAGCCACCTGGTGTGGTAGTGCCTGAAGGAATCTCACTATCACCCAAGTTTGGCATGGATTTGGACTTCTTAATAAGGCGCTCATATTCAGAAATGCGGTTTGGCACCATATCGCGAGGCACCTCCATTCCCCAAGAGGGTGTCCAAGGAGAGAGGCGATGCCGATGCAGGTGAGGTTGTCGTTCTAGCTCCAGGATACGAGCACGAACTGAGCGGATTACTTCAGATGGGATGAGCTGAGCTCGGTCAATCTGGTGCATTTTACGATAGAGCTGGAGAAAGCCCGGTGAATCATGTGCCCGTCGTCGGTGGAGGCGAGGCAATGAACGAGTGGAGGTGGATCCAGTCGAACCTGAGGGATTCCCATCACAAACCAGTGACCCAGCACTTTCTGAGCGGATGGCGTTGCGCCCGCCTGAGCCAGAATGCCCATCATTTAGTAAGTCATCACAGCTGCGTGACCGGAGCTTGCCAGGAGAGGGCGGTGCCTCCTCCGCACTGCTCCATGTCTCAGGATCCTGGCGTTTTGCCTGCCAACTGTTCGTACAACAGACAGACTGTTTAGAGGAGGAGCTGCCTTCCTGACTGGCATCCTCATGGCAATGGACAGGGTCAGAGGGGACAGGGGGCGGATAGGGGCGCTGATGAGGACCTGGGGAGGTCAAACTGTTTGAATACATGTTGCATGCGTCCCCACCTTTCAGATGTCCAATAGAGAGCAGCGTGGTGAAAGAGAAGAAGGAGGAAAGCATGTTAAGCAGTAATACCCAGCAAAGAGGTAGAAGAACTGGGGAGAGGAAGAAGAATTAGTGGAGAAAAAGAGGGTGGAAAAAAAGATGATTTGATGTTTTATCTTCAGACCTCCACCAATACCAATCAAGAACATTTTTGACCACACCAGGCAGACATCATTTTGTGAAAAACACCACCAATGAAAACAAATCTTTGATTTTCTGGCGATGTGGTAAGTACAGTATGTGCATATGTGACGTTTGTGTGTGTGAGTGTGTACCTTTGGCTCTGGAGGGTGAGGATGGTGAGGAACGAATAACAGGTTTCTTTAGGCTGCTGCTGGGTCTGTAGACATCCACTGGTTTAGGGGAAGTTGCAGCTCTGTTCTGAGACTGAGTGTTCACTTGTGAACTTGACGGTTCAGACTTCCTTCTTTTCCTGTAGTCGCTGGCAGCACTGCAACACAGTGAGACATCAATGACAACAGCTTCTGAATGCAGTTTACAAAAGGCAAACTGAACTAAATATACAAATAAATGTATTGCGAGTACATTCTCTTTACTATATTTCCTGTATCATCAGTACTTACAAATGCAGTATAGACCAAAATAAAATAAATAATGAGCAACCGTGAACCACTTAGGTTAGTTATATTTAATTCACTTATATAGTCCATAATGTAACAATCCTTGGCATTATTAATGCATTTTAAAGTATATCCGAGCTTATCCTACTAACAATTAGGCTATTTATCAATGCGTTCGAAATAATGAGACAACCGAGTTACCGAAACTTCTCTTCATTCAAAATGTCTAAAAAAACAGTGGGTTTTCTATTCAAACAAAACCACCCAATGTCACTTGACATGAATTACATGGCCTATTCTTCACATCCCATTTCTGCCCTTTCTGTTCACCAAGGAAAATGCAACTGAATAAGCAGGCCATTGGTGAAAGGGAGTAGGACGAGGGCGGGAAGAGGGGGGGTTGAGGGAAGGATAGGAGGTGAAGGGCAGAATCAATAGGATTGCTGGGTTAATTTATTCTGGCTCAGTTAGTGGGAGGGAGATGCAAAGAGCCCTGCCTTCAGTGACAAAAGCAAATAAAGACTAACAATAATCCTTGCAAATCATCCTAAACAACAGACACAGAAGCTATTTGCACCAGAGGCGAGGCTAGAAAGAGCAGGTTTGATTCCTTGCTGAATCACAACAAGGACCACTGCTGCTGAAAGGATGGGGGAGAGGGAAGGGGGTGATGCAGAAGAAAATAAAAGAAACAGAGGTTACCTTGCAGGTCTCTCCGGAGCCTTGTCAGCAGGAGCGATGTGCAGGGATGTCTGAAATAGGGCAGACAACAAAAGAGAAAAGTGAGCTCCCCAAGAACAAAGACTCGAGGCAGAGCAGTTCACAATGCACAGCCTGCATGCGGTTGTTGCTGTGCCACACTTAAAACGCTCCCCCAGCTTAAGGTGCGATGGATGCTGGTTCCACATGGCACACCTGACTGAGAAGAGGCCTACCGGTGTAAATGGTGATGATAAATGTCTGCTCTCTCTTGGGCTTCTCTGGAGGATGATGGGAAAGGAGATATAGCAAAGGATGTTTTGAGCTGAGCTCAGGGGGCATATGTTGCCCTCTAAAACCTGGCATGGATCAGCTGGAATGGGTCTTAGTGGTAAAGAATGGTTGATACACTTAAAGGTTCAGTGTGTAACATTAGGAGGATCCAGTGGCAGAAATTAACCTAGAATGAGCCAATTTTATCTAAAGACGCAGCCGGGCAAACATGTTGAACCGCTATGTTTTTACAGGAGCCCATATGGGACAGACTAAAAACTGGCTCTAGATACAGCCTGTGTGTTTCGCAGGCACCATAGTTTCTCCCTCACACTTGGAAAGGGAAGGTGAAACGAGTGCAAGTTGCAACCTGCAACTACACTGCTGGGTGCCACTAAATCTTACACACTGGACCTTTAATAACAATCAAATGCAATCACACATTAACATTGGAAACAAAAAAGGTTTCCACCAAATTACATTTTGAGCTCAAAATAAAAAAAATAAACATATAGATCTTCATAATAATTTTCTGAGGAGAAAGAAGTTAGCAAAAAAATCTGGGGTGAGTGGTACAACCAGCATTTTTTCATACAATGCCAACAAAATAGCATTTCAAAGCTATCTGTAGAGTCTTCAAAAAGCAACATCATACTCATATTGCGGTGGATGGCTGACATGCTGACACTCAATTGGTGCTACACTACATTACACTCATTTTAAGCAATCATACCTTACATGTGTCTTAACAATATAGATTTCGATTGGTTAGAAATTGTGAGATCAACAACAATACTGGAACACTCATGAATGTGAGATTACCTCAATGCGCTGGCGAGCGGAGATGTCTGGATTATAATCCAGCCGTTTTTTAGGAGGCTTGAGCCCCAAGCAGCAGCAGTGAGCAGGAAGAGGAGAAGGAGAGGAGGAGGAATAGGAAGAAGGTGAAAATGAGGTGAAGGAGGAGAAGCAGTGGTGACATCATGGGGAGAAACCAAAAAACATGTGGAGAGAGTGACACCCGTTAGAGAATCTGAGTAACCAGAGATGGACTAGTTCACAAACGTTGCACATGTGCTGCGCATGTACAATGCACACATGTGCACACACTGAATACACACTAACACCCTTTTTTGACAAACACACACAGACACACCTACACATAACACCTTCATCCATGTGCACATTCTAATGATTTGCTATATTTCTATGATAATCTCAAAATAGCAACATTTAAGATACAGTACATCAATGCTAAAATAAATCAGGCCTACTACATCAACCTTTATACCACACACACATACACACAGAAATGTGCCCATGTACCACACACACATGCAAAGTGTGAGAGCAAGCTGTAAAGCAGGAAGCCGAGTGAAGCACAAGCTGCAGTGTTGTGTTTATTTGAGAGTGCATTGAATTGCACTATCAAATGCTGTGATTTAGTGCTCGTTTAATAGTGCAGATAAACTACGGTTCACTCAGTTGGCCAAAACATTTTGTGACTTCTTGTGTCACCTCAATAAACACTCAAACACTAAACATACTGTGAGATTCTGTCCCAGCTGGACCAGTCAGTGCATGTAGGGAAACCATCTACACTCTGAGGGCTTATTCAGTGATGTGAAACATTCAAAATATTGCAGGTTGAAATCTCAATACACAGCACAACATGACCTCGGGAAGTCATGGCAGCTCCAGATGTGACATTTTCACCTGAACATTTCGAATAAGCCCCACAAATCATCACCTGATGTCATGCTGGCATGGATAGAGGCATGTCCTCATGACACTTTGTAAATCAGTCAGGTTGGGGTAATTTGATCCCAGAAGCTAGAAGCAATCCCTGCCCTGAGCCACTAGGACGTTATTACCTCCTACATCCAGCAGAGGGTACTACAGCATTTAGTTTGAAGATATGCAGAGCATTCCTTTACCAAAGTAAAGATAAACAGAAATACTAGCAGACATGAATAAATGATTAAATGAATAAACAGGCTAAATAAAAGGCTAATTAATTGATACACATGTTAACATGTGTAAGAGATGTTGAAGAAACTGCACAGACTCAGACTGTTACGCAGATAAAAAGGGTAATAATAATAATAATGTATATCATTAGGAAACTCATCCATTGCATATTTATCAATGTTATGATGGATTGATTGATTCATTGACTGACTGGTCTGTGCAGTTCTACCAGCCTAAATGTCAGCTCATCTAAAGCATCTGGAGCACACTGCCTTTTAACCTATTTTCCTGCTTATTTTTGGACAAGATGCAATAACAAACCAACTGAAATAAAAATTTCAATACAAAAGGCTTCTGTGCCTGCTAGCCACCAGACCAAAAAACCCAGCAACGCAGAGAAATAACACAGCCTGTCACGAGGGTGGGGGAGGGTGGGGGTTCACAGCACCCAACAAGTACCACATGCCCAAACAACTAGCCCCACCCAGTCTATTGGTGGACACATTTTTTTTAAAAAAGTGGGTGTTTGCCTATGGCAGGGTTGTGGTTGAGGGAGCAACTATGGCCCTGACTTACCGGCCGCCCAAACTCCAGCTCGGAAAAGAACTTATACCAAGGCTCGTTCTCTAAATCTATGTCATCATAGGTCTGGGAAAGCATGACAGTGACAGAGAGAGGAGGTAGAAGAAAGACAGAAGAAGTGTGGAAAGAAGTCACACACAAAGAGAGACATGGACCTCATGGTTAGGAATGGGCAAAGGTGGCACAGAGAGATGGGCACAGGATGAACCAGGATGGGGATTTAGACTGGCTCATGGGGACGAAGGTAGTAATGCAAAACCCATTTTCTATTGACAAATCCTAAGAAAATTTAGCTTCACTACTTTAACTGGTCTGACAGTAATCCAAAAAGTTATTTGTTAGGCAAAGTACCATAATTCCTTATTATCATCAGCCAGTAATTAAACCTGTTTACACTAAATAATCTAATATGCACAGCGACACTCTTGTCATCGGTGGGGACCGAAGAGGCAGACAATTTCAACACGTAGGCTCTTTTGAATTGACAGTCATTAATTTCGTATGCATAAAAATTAAGAGGGCTGTGAATCACATGACAGAATCAAATTACCACTGGCTTATTCTAAGCCAAAGCACAGGTGACAGATAATGAAAATCAGAATGTTACTTTGAGCATTACATGTCTAACACCCAACCTCATTATCCACACCTTTGTGCTGGCTCAGTGAATGGCATACTAAATCATCATCAGAGGAACTCATTAAAGAAGAGGAGGAAAGGGTCCGTTTTTAAGAGCTGTCTGGAAAAGACATTAGGGGTTACTTACATGGGTGTACAAAAAGGTTCACTTCTACCCTGGTGGGAGCAGTATTGCTTCACCATCAGTCAGCCAACTGACCCAAGTGCTACACACTGCCATAACTCCAATTGAGTGTTGAATATTGTTAGTGTTAGATTTAACACACTATGTTTTTTTTTGTGTCTTTTCATTAATTACTTAGAAAACAGGTAAAAACACCAAGGCAGGACAGTGCTATAAACCACTAAACCAGCCAATCAGTTTATATTTTCTTGTTTAACCCTATTTATTCATCCTGTCCTAATGCCTTTTTATGTCTTTTGTAAAGTTATCCCCAACAACACATTTGATTCCACCATGTCTAATAATGTCTGATAATCACAAATATTTAATTAAGTTAAGTACTTAACTAAGTTATGAGTTAAGACTGTGTTTCATATTGAGGCATGTCAGCTACGTTTGTTCAAATTTATTGACTGAAAAAAACACTGTATACCCTCCACTATTTTGAATGCCTGGCATGTAATTGATGGATAAATTGCCTTAAGGAAGCAGTTTATCTCTGCTGTTGTCACATGATAGATTATAACAGCCCTTCCCTTGTATTACATAGAGATACATTTTCATATCAAATCAACCTGCAATAAACTGTGTCAGATGGGATGAAAGTATTTACATGATTCACAATTATACAGCTAAGCAAAAACAATGGTTACTGCTGTGTAGCAAGTTAAACAACTCCAACAAGTACAGGTTTCTTTATTTGTTTCCATTTACACACTTGGATGTGCACTTCAAAAAGTGTTACTGTTGTTTTAACTGTAGAGATAATGCACTGGTTTACTACTCTGTCTGCTCTTTCTAACCCTGTTCCCACATGAAAATGGTTTTCACGCCAAATGAAACACTGCCAGGAGATGTTTTGTAGGTGTTGTGGTGTCACATCTCGCCTGCTAAAAAGAGAATTCAGCTTTGAGACAAATGAGTCACCCCGTGAAAAAGTGATGCCTAGAGTGGAGACTGCCAATCAGGCAAGTACTGTAAACACACACAGAAAAAAAGAAAGAGGATCAGAAACATTTTTGTTTGCTATGGCTTGTAAATGCCCAAATGGATATTTTATCACCGAACAGCATGTTTTGGAGGGCCATTTCTTCACCTTGGAGAGTGGAGAAAAAAGCTTCTGAACATATAGAGTCCCAGACAGCAGATTGGACAGTGTGGGTTCACGTCTACTCCCTACAGCTTTCTCCTTTTATTGCCTTATCAGCAACTGACTCATGCATTATTGCTCTGGGAGAGCTTTCTGCAGTCATCGCATTAAACATCTGCAAAACCTCCACAAAAACCTTTTCTTTTGAATCTATTCCCACATAACAGACTCCTCATCTGTAACACATTCTCCATTATCTCGTCCTTTTTATCAGATACTTCATGTCTATTATTTTCTGCCCTAACTCTACACGGTAATTATCTCCTCTGTCTGCTTTGTCATTCACCCCACACAGAGTGAACAGCCAGTACAGTCGCTAGAGGATGCAGCACTGAAACCTTCGCTTTTTACCGCCCACACTGTGTCTGACGGAAGTCCATGCAAAAGCCCATAATATGAAAATATATTAACAACATGGTGATGTATACCAAGACCTGCAAGTTAGAAAGGTGTTTGCTCTTCTCAATTCGACCATCTACTTGTTGCTTCATCTCTACACTTCATGTTGCTTAATGTTTAGTTGTCTACCTCTTCAGAAATGCACCTTTTATTTGACTCCGAAGCAAAACCGTGTGACAGAGAATTTTTTTTTTAACAGTAACAAGCATAACTACAACAACAGTAACACAAATTACATCATTGTCATGGTAATAGAAATATTCTCCCAAGATGCAGACATGAAGCCAGCAAATGTTAAAGAATAAATTTCCAGATTGGCTCCTACAGGCAGTTTTCAGTGTTTTTAATAGAAGAATGTCAGTTTCAATTCAATTCACTGTAATGAAATTAAAGAACATTTTAAAATATACTCACTGGTCTTTCATGTTCCAAAATAGAGGACTTCCCAGGCTCATACTCAAAAATACTCTTGGGCTCTGCACGGTACTTTCGTGTGTCCACTTTCCTGTTGGGAGGACCCCATTCATTCCTGGTGCAAAAAAAAACAAGACATATTTCTTAGAAAGCATTCGGACACTATGTTAGTTATCTATTCAAGAATATTTCTTAGCACATTTTAAAGGAATATAATGCAAGGTGGCTCAGAATTAATGTGAGAAAAAAAACAATTCAAAAAATGCACATAAACTAATACATAAATAATCCATCCCATGTATTAGTTTGTGTGCATGACATGGGGATTTAAATTTAGTTTTGTTTGCTTGTACAACATTTATTGAGGGCCACTATTTCTAATTCTAATAAGGTGTAATAAATGAAAGAGATAAGGCGAAGTTTGTCTTACGCGTCAGGCAAGTCTTTATCACGGTCACTGTCTCTGGCCCTCAGTTGGAGGAGAGATGGCATGGGTGGAGGTGGAGGGGGTACAGGGGATGGAGAAGGCTCCCGAGGCCCCAGATGACCTCCGTTGTCCGAGGGGCTTTTGGCGAGTGGCCTGTACGTATGTGTCCGGGGAGCAGGGTGGGCCATGGTGGTGTTGGACGAAAGGCTGTAGTCATCTGTTAAGGATAGGGCAGAAGAGATATCGGGCGAAGTAATGAAGCAGAGCAAGCCAGACAGGAGGAGACAAATGGGTTGGGAAGAAATTACTTAAAACATTTCTCACCATTGTTAATGACAGCATATGTTGCATTGTATGTGTCAGAATAGTCATCATCTGTAGATGAAAGGAACAAAGACTGATTGGCATACATGCACAAACATAATTTATAATGATAATATAATCATTTACAAGTTTGTAGTTTCCTCTCCAGGGAGAACATCACCTTTAGTCAGCTTGAAAACAGTCAGTAACAAAGTAATTTCAGATAGTGGCCATTTTTCACAGCAGAAAGGATCAAAACCACCCAAGCAGCATAAACCACTTCTCCTCTGTTCATCCACGAGCTCAGCGTGTTTCAAACTATTGTTTTTCCAATATGTGTTTTTTTTCCTTTAAGAAGGGCGATAGCAACCCTTAGAAGCAGTGTATTGCCCATATTTTGACATAATTATGATACTATGAAAGTGAATTTAAAGCTGCAGTTTTCTGCAAATTCTACAGGGGTTATTGGAATATTGCTTTATAAATTTACAGAGAATATGTGCATATTCATCAACTCTCCAAGATGCATGCAAACATTTTTTTTAGGCACACACAATCATGAAATTGTGTGTATGTTTGTATGTGTGCTTCAGGAGAAGAAGCCTGAGCAGTTATGAACAAACAAGCCTTGTAATGACTGTGAGTCTGTCAAGCCCACAAAATTAGAGCAGATTTCCCAGGACAGCTGAGTGTCTATTAGAGGTTTTTCTCAATTCCTCCTCCTCTCCAAACTCTCTTGTTCTCATCTAATGAGTTCTGGCTCTGAGGTCCTTTGGGTCTTTTGGTTTAACAATAAGCGACATGCAGAGACACACAATGATACACACATACGCATACTGTATGGGTGTGTGCATGAGCAATTCTGCTCATAATGTCTGATAAAAAAATCGCATCAAATAATGGGAAATTTCTGCCATTCAGTCTGATTCAGTATTTACTTACCTGCTTTGTGAACCTTGTGGATCTGTTTGAACATAGTTTTGTACCAGTCCTTAGGCCTATCCACCGTCTGTAGAGAGAGAAATCATCATAAAGATTTATGTGCCGTGAAATGCAACATAAACGTAGAAAGGGTTCACACCGTTTTATAGGTCATTACTGGGTTGAGAAAAACACACCCTCAGCCTTTCTAGAGATCCATATTTCCCTCACAGAGAATTTAACTTATGCTGAGACATGAATAAATTATTTAGAAAATACATTCATCGTATTTAAAGACACTCTCCATATCATGCTTTTAGGAAATGTTGATCAAGCTTGTTCAATAAAATACATTTAGGGTGATTTAAGAATGACTAAATCTTCTGTTTTTGTATCCAACATGAATAATCTTGTCAAGAAGCATTTGCATCACACTGTTTTAACTTAATTCAAGGAAACTGCTCTTAATATGTCTTTCTTGTTTCAGCTATAGCTGATGATAAATCTGAAAATTGATTTTCATTGTTTTCACACACATAAAAGATCTATTAAAGATACACTGAAATAAAATATACATTTTCAAAGTAATCCTGTTTTCATCTCTTTTATATGTTTTATGTGTGTATCTAATGTCAAAATCCCTCTCCTTTCTCTTTCTGTAAAACATTGGAATACACTAGATGACTCATCTTGAACACAGGGACTGTACTGTATACATAAATGTATCCAATCAAATGTGATTTGGGGCAATGCGCTAACCCCCAGCCATCATGTAAAACCACACTTTACTGTTAGCTCGTGGGCTGTAGTAGCTAGTAGAGCAATATCATAGTAGGAGTGTGTGTTTGGATGTCAGTTGGCAAAAAGGTCTACATTTCCAAAGAATCTCTCGTAATTATACCCCACTTACATATCCTGTTTCACTTAGAAATAGGTCACATCACAGAAGATAAAGACTCTAAATTCTGTTTTACTCTGACTTTAAAAGAAAAACAGTATAGTATTGTATAGCATACTACTATACTAAAATACTAGTAATAGTAGTGATGTTTTTGTGTTCTTTGGTCAGTCTATAACATTTGAGTATATTTCAACTTTTAAACATAATATAAATTGCCATAATATCCAAACATGTAGAAAATCTGTGTGCTATGGTGATCCGGGCTACTTTCAGAAATCAATGTCAGCAGATTTGGTTTGGCAGCATAGAAGATCCAGAAGCCATGTTGCTACAAAATCAAAGTGGGAGCTTCTGGTGTTCTGCCTGGAAAATCCAGGAGAAACCCTGGTATGTGTGTCTTTGTGTGTACAGTATAGATCTAACAGCCACTTCAAAAAAGAGCTATCAAATGGCAGGAAGACTTAATCCTGTCTTTATTCAGTAGCACTAAACACTGTGTCTGAACTCTGGTCAGAGAAGAGGCAGTTTGGCTCCACAGTGAAGGAGTGTGTGTGACTGAGCATGTAGCATCGGCACAGCCAAGATACGGGCCAATTACCACTTCACTCTCCATGGCTACCAAATAAAGTGCCCACAAAAATGTTTGTCTGCTCAAAACAAGGAGGATCTGTTTTTTTTCTTTGCTGTTTTTTTTTTCTCTCCACCTTTTCTCTTTGCCTTAATGCCCATCTTTTATTCTTCCTATAACTTTCTCTTGCTCACTCATTCTGTAGTTTAACATGTCTGTCTTTAAATGCCACTCTTCAAGAAATGGATATCTGAGGGACAGTGATACAGAAAGCCTTAGCAGAGATAACACACAGCTGCACACTTTGACAAATATCAAAGCAAAGACCCTGAGCTCCTCTATAACTAGCACACAGGGGGAGAGTAAAAGACATACTGAAAGATAGTGAGAGTAAGAGAGAAAGGGGGTCAAAAGCTGCTGACAGCTGAAAGTAATCCCCTCTCGTGAGCCTGATCACATAACAACAATGGGTCAAAAGAAACTACTGTACAACGCTACAGTATGTAACTAGTGTGGACAGCTCTGTGTGTGTGTTTGACCTCACCGTACGGATGGCAATAGGGATGCCAGACTCGTCCACAGGGCCGATGCCTTCATAATGAGGGGCTTTAATGACGGACACCTTTTTCTCTTCTTCTGAGAAGTGGGCAATGGGCACAGTGCTGCTGACGCTGGTGTGGCCCGACACCACAGACTCTCTGGTGACTGACTCGCTGCCCTCTAAAAGAGGAAGACGCACTGTTAGATGTACCTACTAATAATCAAACAGAAATCAAAGTTGGGGCACCGAACACCAGCTAAAAAAGTGAATACTGATCCAGCACCAAGACTGACTGCCCTTTTTTATGTTTTAAGATTTGAGTAGTAGTAAGAACAACCAGAATATTTGCCTCCATTTTGTACTAACTAATGTGTTACTGTGCTACACAACTGAATGGTTATGGTTTTAGCTATATACATATACTGGAATTGAAACAAATACTTTACCTAAAAAACACATTCTTGCAATAGTAACCATTTGAATACAGCACAGCCTTCCAAGCATGTTGTAGAAGAAAATATAGTGGAAGGTCAGCCACTCACCTGAACTCCTGCTCTGTCTCTGGAGCCCAGTGTGGAGTGAGGACGGGGGAGGAGGGTAGGATGGGGGAGAGAGGGGCCTCTGTGGATGACTAGTACTTCCATTCATAGCGTGAGAGAGAACCTGGCCCTAGAAGTGACCCACAAGCCAGAAAGAGAGTCATTCACTACCAATTACAAATGGCAGAAAAATGTACAAATTTCCATTTACTAGTGGAGAATATTGCTGCTCTGCCCTACAACAATAGGTGATGAGTGTACATGTAAAAAACATTTAGCAAAACAAGAGAATGATTAGTTTTATGAATCCATTATTAGTCATCATATTGCTATAACATATAAAGGTGTAGAGGAACCTAGTATGGAAATGAATGTACATGTAGACAGATATTGGGGCTGATGTGATTCATAGGAGCTGCTGAATCTGAAGTGACTGTGCAATGTAAGAACAGTTAGTGAGGGAAAGGGGCACTTATTGAATTACTTCACTTCAAAACAGACAGAAGAGATTAAAGCAGCGATGGAAAACAAACAACTCTTTCAGATTTACATACTTTCATTATAAATTAGTTGTGACATAAACAAGACAATGGACATGATACAGTTACAATGGGAGGCTCTTCTGTAGAATGCTCTCCCATTCAACATGACACAGGAACATATGATTTCATCTGACAAAGGATAAAAACATTTTATCTAAAGGCCTGTGTGTTCAGATCAAAGATTCATGATAGCTAAAAAAAAACAATGACTACTGTACCTAGCAACCAATGCAATTTAATAGTGATTAATTCACATTAAACACGCAAGCGAACACTCGGTTGCCAGTGAATTAAATGGTGTATCTACACAGGAGATGTTTCAGTCTGGTTTAATAATCGTCAGTCTCATGCACGTCTGACAGAACAGAAATGTTCTATCCATACTTCTATTTTAACAATCCAGCTGTCTACAGGCTGCACAACGGCTCATACTTTACTTGCTCTATACAAGCGTGACCACAGTGTATTTTTATGCTTTAAGTCAAATTTTTTTCTGTTTCACGCTCATAACTATAGTTATGTGGGCTCTGAGCACTACCAAAACACAGGTGACCCACACTCAATACTGTGCCTGAACACATCCTGTGTAAACACATATGGAGACCGAAGGTGCGGCTCTGCGAACGTGCTGGTCCTGTTGCACTCCCTACTTCTGACTCCTTCCGAGTTTAGTGCTTGGGCAATGAGTAAATGAAAACTTCAATGACAGTGAGCAGTACTGACACTGATGGAAGATGCAAACCATGAAGTTCACAGTAAAAAGTGGCAATGCAATGCAACTTTGATTGACACCAAGCTGATTGCTGACTTGGAAGCCTATGATAAACTAAATTATCTAGCCCTAAAAAATGGCAATTCAGCCTTAATATCAGTCTTGTAGACATGCACATTTAGTAATAATAAAAAATAAAAATCTACAGATGTACCATTCTGTGGGGCAACATAATAAGTGGACAGGAAACACAACTACAGTCACCCTGGTTCAGGCTTTCAAGATGCCAGAAACCCTGCTACATTAACTTTTCTGGAAATGGTTTTGTCACATCATGAATTTTTTATGTGAACCGGCCTTTAGGAGAGAGTATAATTGCATTTGATTGCAAAAAAAAGGCATAACAAAGAGAAACATAGACAAGCACACATAGACAGTGTTCTAATGAGTACAGACATGAACATAGTGAGGGAACATAGTGGGCTGAATTTAATTTTGGTATCTGACAAGTAGGTTGTAGTTGGTGGTTAGTGAAAGGTAAAAATCAATATTATAACACACTTTGTGAAGGTTTGGTTCCATCCAAGTGGAGGGTGATAGGGAACCATTGTTTTGGTGCTGATATGTGTTACTGCAGTGACTTGTTGGGATAATTACGTTAGTGAAAGTGGATGCTGCAGCAGTGGAGGCCACAGAGGTTGTTAGCACATCATCAAGGCCAGCAGTGGAAGTGTAGGTAGAGACATGGCTGAGGGTGGGCGATGGTGTGGGTGAGGCGCCAGGTGAGTCCAGGCTACAGATCTGCAGCTCATCCAGCAGACCCGCCGTGGACGATGAGTAGTGGCTGAGGGCTGACACCGTCAGGGGGGAAGCCGAGGGTGACACACAGCCACTGATGCTCGCACTGCTGACAGCGGTAAGGCTCGGCCTGCTGACTGCACCAGCTGTGCTGCTAGCTCCACTAGGAACATACGGGGTGGGCGATAGAGTCTTGGGCATTAGGCCTGACAGGTAGTCGAGTGATTCTGAGCTGTGGCAGCGATAGGGGGAGTGCCGTGCTGTGGGGTCAGGGGAGGGAGGCCCCTGGTGTTGGAAGGAGAGGGAGTTGATTGGAAAAGGAGGAGATGAGGAGAGTGCTTAGTGATATCACTCATTAGCTGTGTTGTCACAAAGGATGTGTGGAAGTAACACGTGAGCTCTAAGGTGAAATGCTGTTGTGAAATCACAATGAGGTGTCATAAGGCTGCAGCATCATCGTCCGAAACATGATTGATGCTGTGAATTGAAGAGGCTCTGTTAGTTCAAACTCGTTGGAAGGCAGCAAATACAGTAACAGTGGTACAAAATATATGTAACAGTTGGTTATCACATATACAGTATAAGTTCACACATATGCAGAACCACAATTAGTTTGGTTGGTTGGATGGCAGCACCAAGACTAGCAAACTAAAGGGCAACACACATAAGCAGCGTAATACGTGCATTAAAACACCTGCTTGTTTTCTATGTAAGGCCAAACACCAGCTTCAAGGAACACCACTGTCCTCAGAAAAGACACCAGAAAAAAACAGCATTTTTCTCTCTCTTGGCACATCCCGGCTATGGTAGCTTGACTACTTCTTTGATGTGTATGGCCGTTTATGGTATACTATGAGCCTCAAATTACATAACGCAGCCAGTGTGTTACCCTTAAATCACTCTTGATGTCACCAAGACAAAACCCTGGGGATGCTGTATTATAGTAACCTTAAAATTGACAAACTCATTGCTCTTGTTTGTTCTATTGTTACAGTATGTAGTCACTTATGTACCAACAGTTCTGCAGGAGAAGGTCTTGGTGGAACTGCAGGAGGAGCCTTCATTATCTCCACCTGGGCTGGAGGCGGACTTTGATTTGGGACCTTGAGTTCCATTGTGTTGTATGAAGGCTCTGGATGATTCAGACTCTCTGGGCCCAAGTGGACAGAAAGCGAGGCAGTCTGTGTCAGGGGTAGAGACAGGATGGGGGACCTCTGTGGAGGTTTGGGAGTGGGTGGAGGGGAACCTGTTGTCTGGGTCTTAGGTTGGAGGTCAAGGTAAGAGTTGCAGTGAGCCGGAGGGTCAGGGATGGTGACGGGGGTTAGTTTGAGGGAAGACACCTTACGCTCATGGGCTTGTGTATTAGTGGTGGCGGTTGCACTACAGTTGCTAACATCATTTGGGACAGTGGACTGGTGTGGCTGTTGGACTGGGTTTTCACTGCTCTCTGAGTAGGAGTAAGAAGAAGTGCTATGAATAGTGTAGGACTCTTTCAAAACTGCTTTCTCATTCTGAGTGAATGTTAGCATTCCAGGGCTAAAATCATTAGCCAAGGTAATGAGGGAGCTGTAGTCTGGTGGATTAGTGCCAGTGGGTGAAAAGTGGAAACTCTCTCTCCTGGGGGGTGGCAGGGGCACGTGATTGACATCCTTGTTGGGCAATTAGAATTCAACAGCCAAGAGGAGTTCAAGCAACAACAACAAACAAGTAATCAGTTCAAAGCTTGATACAAATAATCATCAAGTTCTTCCAACTACAGTATGGTTCTGTGTAAATGATCCATTAATTATGATGTATGTGTTGTCATTAAGAACAAGAATTCCAAAAAAGACTTTTACAAGCCAAAGACACTTCTTTGATTAAACTCTAAATAATAGTAAAAAAAAAAAAAATGCAAATGTCAACATCTGTCAGTGTGGTGTGTGAGACATTTTACCTGTGTTGGAGACTTTTTCTCCTGTAGGTTGGGTCTGACACTGCGGAAGCCTTTGGCAGCAAGAGATGAGCTGTTGGCATCTCCGTTCTTAAGGCCATCTGTTACACTGCGTGACCGCCAGGAATCTGAAGATAAAGTTAATAATATTAACATCACACACTGCGGTGTGTTTTGATTATGTTTTATGGTCTCCTATGGGGTGTTTCATAGCGCCTTTTATCATGCGCAATGTCAAGATTGTCCACCTGAATTCACCATAAGGAGCAGAGACTTACCCAAGTCTGATGAGTGAGAATCACTCCCTGGAGAACAGAGAAGACACAGCAATAATAAGTGTGTGATCACAATCATCACTGCAACAAACATCAATACGACTGTATAGCTGTTGTCTCACAAAATATTTGTGAGTATGTTCAGTGTGACAAACAGAGACTTGGTGATGGGGTTAAGGGAGTAAACACAGGTTTGAAAAGACAGACTGAAGAGGAAAAGGCATAGGACAGATACATTCTGTATGTTAAATGACAAGTGTGTAGGATTTAGTGGCATCTAGCAGTGAAGTTGCAGATTCCAACTAACTGAACACCACTCGCGTCTGTATTTGACAACCTGGGAATAAGAACGGGCGTGTGTAGGAGAAACTATGGTGGTCGTGAAACTCGACCTGTATGAAAGGCCCTGTCTACCAATTGATCTTGTAATCACCATGAACTACTACTACTGCTTTTACTATTAATAATCATTCCTTTCCTGTAAATCACAGAAATCCCAAGCATTTTCTCCAGATAATGTAGTTTTGTCAACTTTTTAAGATAAAACAGTGAGAAGACAACTACACTAATTCCCAGGGCTAACTAACAATTGGTTAGGATTTTAAGTCACAGAAATGACAGATTTCTAAAATCAAAAAAACTCACACAGTATTACCAGTATAAATGAATAATATGGTAATGGCTTATTTGTATGAAAATAGGCTTACTTCAGAAGGCTGAATGTATGTTCCAACAGATTTTGGCTCTGTTATAGAAATGAGTACAGACTGTGTAGCCATAATGGCTGTTTCAGGTAGCTTCTTTCTGTGTTTACTTTCAGTCACACTCAGAGACAAGTGTTAGAAATTATTTATGTAAAAATCTGTTTGAGGTTCACTCAGTTTGCCCTAAAATATATGTTGTTTTGAGTCCTCATTTTTTTAAATCTTGACGTCTGAGGTGGCCAGTGCAAAGTTAGCACAAGCCATGGAGCCACAAAATAGCCACAATTATGGGATATAAATCAGATTTAAATAAAGCTAAATTATTTCATCTTTAACCAAATTCTTCTTGAGTGCTTTTACACACTCATGGTTAATTGTACCTTTTTATGATTGTGTGAATATGTCAATTGATTCCATGTGGCTGGTTATGTTAGCTAGCTCACAGAAATATAGACAGATAGTTTTACCAGTGGGAATGGCTCAAGCTGGGATGGATCACGCCACAACACACAAAACACTCTCAACTGGTTCCTTAACCTCCACTCTTTAGTTTACAGTGTTGGAACCATGCAGAAGGGTGATTTCAGGATTCCTAGGAAACATCATTGTAGATTTTTGAGTGCTGACTCCACGTATAACAGTATGCTAAACAGTAATCGTGACTGAACTGTACACCCCTGCTAAGGCTGAGGGTCCCTTTGAAGCTGACGCCTGCATGTCTCCTTCACAAACAAGCTCTAGTGGCTACGCACAGGATCCTAAAGCCCTCTGAGTGGTGGTTTGATCAGTGCTACCACGCTCCTAAAGCTTCTATATCGGACAACAATTTAGCAGCTTTCACACAGTGCCCCACTATTGTTAAAAGGAAGCTGACCGTGCTGGGGTGCCTGCATAGGGGCAGCTGTTAACCTGGATGCTGACAAGGTTCAGGCACAAACACTGCTCTTTCAGCAAAGGAAAGGAGTAGGCAGGTGGGGACGACCAGCTGCATCCCCTGGAAGCCCAGAACATACTTCTCCCCCGCTATGTAAAAAGCTCTTCAGTTATTCCTTTTAAGTTGAACTGTGATTTCAAATTACATGTGACAAGGAATAGGCAACAATTTTAGGATGAAGGGGCTTATATATACACAACATTTGTAAGTTTTATTGCATTAAACTAAAACACTGATCAGGAAGAATTAAGCATAATTTAGGATCAAGGGAGCTGTGCTATGTCTAGAGGAAAAAGAGTAATGGGTAATAATGAGGCAGGAAAAACTTAAGACAACAGGAAGAACACACTAAACTACCCATAAAGAGGGAGGAATGGCATGGAGCAGTGTGTGAGCATGACATATGAGAGCTGTCAAAAGGGAGGAAGATTAACATCAACAACAGCTAAGTACAGTATGACTGATTTAGGAAGCAAAAACAAGCCCAGGACGGAGGAGACTAAAAAAAGGAAACAAAAGAATTATACAATCAACTGATTAGAAAAAAATAGCATGCCATAGTCCAAACATTGCTTAAGCAAACTGGGGCAGCCGCAGGCTATTTGAAACAATTTCAAATATGCTCAAACCATATTATCTTGATGAAGCCCAAACAGCAAGCCACTTTTTAAAGACTTACCTCTTTCACAGTTTAGTACAGTCAATACCTGAAGTGGTCTGTATTTCGTTATTCAAAGATGTGTTCATTTCTTGGGTGTTTGTGAGTGTTAGTACCTGTGCCTAGATTTGGTGAGCTCTGGACCCTCTTCATGGGAGAGAGTATGAGTGACAAGGCCACACTTTTGCGAGCGAATCCTCCGCTATCTGAGAAATCACAGCCAGGCAGGTGATCATCGAGGCAGAAGCAGCAGCAAACACGTGCACATGCATATACACAAAGACACACGCACACAAATGCTTCCAGCCAACATAACACGCACAGACAAGGCAAAGCACATGCACTTAAAGAGCCAGATTTTTACTGCATGAGCTCAGGATATGAGAAGAAACTGGTGTACAGCCCAATCACAAGATTTAATTGTAAAGTAGAAGATGTTGTAATGGATGCTTTTGAATTAGGCTTACAAAATCACAGAGTGTTAAGACTTTAGGACTAATGATATTAACATGGGGGACATTTGTTAATAGAGAAATCAAGTGTCAATATCACTAAATATCATAAAATATGTTTACTGAAAACACCCTGTATTAGGTTGGTGTGTTACTACTTCCTGTGGCAGACAGTGGCTACTGATCTGGTTTGTCTCGTAGGAGTGTTGACTGTTCTTTTTTGCTTTTTGGACATCGTCAGTATAGCTATTTTGTAGTTACTCACTAACCATTTGGTGAGGGGAAATGTCAGCTTTTTTGTTGTTTTGTTTCTTCATCAATCAATTTTTCTAATTCCGGTAGTGTCATTGTTTGTCTTTTAACACATGACAAAGCTATTTTTGTTTTGTCTTCCACAGTGTAAACACAGATGAACAACCAAGATGAGTCAAGATATCACTGGCAGCCACACACAGTGTTGGTGTGCGGAGAAGACTAAAAGATGGATTACTCATCATTGATTCCCCGGCTGAAATACACATTTGGGATGACTGCCAAGTTTAGGACAGAGCTTCAGGAATGTACTAAAGGGGGAATATGTCACTGTGGTTAAAAGGAACAGGCTTATTATACTTATTGATGCTTTCAGTCACAGTAACCCATGCCCAAAATGGACCACCATCAAAGCGGTGAAACAGGGTCAGGGTTAGAATGATAGACTCATGCCTGTGGTAGAGGAAAACTGGCACACATAGCCGCTTTTAAAATAACTAGGTGGTCTGAAATGTGGAAACACATTGACTTTTTCATTGTGAAGTATCGAATGTGAATAATAGTTTTATGTTCAATGTTAAATGGTACAAAGAAGTGCATGATAAATGCAACAAAAAAAAAACAATGGATATAGACGGATGATTCCCCAAAAAATTCATGCAGCATGTGGTTTGTGTGTGTGCGGTTGTATACCTGTATTCATATTGAAGAGCACTTCTTACTGATCTACTGCAGGGGGATACACTTTCCTGGAAAACAAAAACAAGTATTTCAGTCAAAAAATAGTCTTAGTCTCACTTTTCTAGTGCTTGAATTTCCCTCGGGATAA